AACTGAAAGGAAAAATCTAATTTTTATAATTTGACAAATTAAACGGATATAAAAACAGTCTTCAATTAAAAAATTTTGCGAAAGAGATCAAATAATATTTTAGTTTCTATATTATATTTTTCACTAACATTGATTTATGTTTATGTAACTTTAAATGACATTTATATTATATGATACTAACACAGATAGTTTTAATTATAATTGTTTATTAATCATAAAACTGAGTGTTTTTAATCAATACGCTACACTAAATACAGTACAAAACCATTTATCCGGTACCCAGAAAACCTGGAAAAATTTCACTTGGTTTTCCCGCCATTTTGAACTGGAAGGATGGAGAAGAAATGCGGAAGTGTTACTCATTTTTGAAGTTTAGTAGGGGAAAAGGTGGGTGGGGGTATTTTTTCCACCATATGTCAAGAGAAAACTTGATTATTTCTTCTGTAACCTTGAAGTTCTTAAGGACGGAAAGGGGCAAGAAAAGGGGAAACTTTTTATTTTCTTCCCTGCATTCCACAGAATTGGTGGTTTTCAGATAAGCTACCGTCAATCGAAAAGGGAGTGGCATGCTGTTTTCGTTTTCTCTTTGATTTATGTGGGGGGGGCGGAGAACAAGCATTGCACACGCATATCGTTGAATAGAAGGTGAAAGAGAAATAAAAAGAAAAATATATCCCTATACATTACTAAGGAAAAAAAACTAAATTGGAAGTACAAATTGGAATACAAAAACGATTAAAAAACGGCAAATTTTAGTTTAATGATAAAGTAAGAATATAGTTAAGTTGATCACTTAAAAAAAGATTAAATTTTATCATTTAAAAAGTAATCAGAATAATTTAGTAAAATAAAACATAATTGGAAACAATTGTCAGAGAATTCGACACTACTAAATTGCGAGATTTCGCTTCCGTTTTCAGTACTGTAACTTGCGCTAGCGCAACAGAGAATAAAAAAATATTTTACCGGACTGACGTTATTTTTTGCATCTTTAGGATTCTTCTATTATTCCTAATCATTTCTGGAATGTTGTCTATTAGAAGTCTGAGTCAAGGAACTTGAAACTTGTTGACGTGTCAGATTTTTTTTTTAATCTTTTATTTTTTTCTCCAGTTTTTTCTTTTTTGTTATCCGTGATTTATTATGACAAATTATTGTTCTACAATTTCTGACAATACATTATTATTACAATTTAAAACGTTTTTTACTTTTTTTTATTGTCTGCTATATTAATTTATTTGACACTAATTAACGAATCAATATTTTTCAATTAAATAAATTCAGATTCTTTCTCTGATTCTCTTCTATTTGAATCATGATTTCTCTTCTATTTTCAAATTTTGCTTGATGTGGAATCGCGTTTGCTTTCGTTAAAAATTCTCTGATTTTATAAAAAAAATAATAAACGGAAAAGATTGTTTAATAATGAAGCATACAATTATTTATTACTAAAATCAGACGATTATTTTATGAGGCAGATTGCAGCTTTCTCTTTTTTAAAGCAATTTATTTCTGATTTCAATACCCTTTTTTTTTCCTCCCATCATTCACAATAAATTTCGTACTTCATAAATTATATCTTTTTATTCATAAACTTTAACATAATTTTTTTTTTAATTCAGTAGATTTTACAATCTCCCGGTTTTAATATTTATGATAGAGCCCTTTCTAGTTATTGTTTCCATTTGGTAATTTTCTAGCATTGTTTTTTTTTTATTTAATTTGGTTTTATTTAGTTTATTATAATTTTCCTCAACTTCAATTAAATTAATAACTTCAATTAACTTATATATTTAATAGTTTCCTTTTGTGTTTTTTTGGTATTATGATCAAAATAAGTTATCTTTATTAATTTTGCTGTTTTACCATCTTAATTTATATTTTTCAATCTATCCATCTTATTTATGATTTAATTTTTTTTAATAGAAAATCTAAATGTATTGGCATTGTTATAATTTTTTCCCCTTCTATTTTTAAAAGCGTTTTAATTTCATTTAAATATATATATATAAAATGTTGAATATTTCATTAATATAGTTGTTTTGGGGGATGACTGTTGAAAAGCTGTTCTTATTAATTTATTGATTAATTAGTTCTCCCTTAAGATTTCATTTTTTTTAAATATTTTATGGGGATAATTTATTTATTTTATACCAAAAGATTAAAAATATAAGTTTTTAAAGTTTATTTATTTTTATTATTTATTTATTTGCTTATCTGTTGGTAAAATGCATTATTTTTCAGTTATTTATTCTTTTTGTGATTCAACTTAATAAATAAGGATTAAGTTTAAATATGGATTGTTTATATATTTGTTAGTTTCTTTATAGGACGGTCTGATATTAGAATGCTAAAAATATGCTTTGTCTTAGAAACTTATTGGTGCTTTTCTTTCCAATAATATATTGGATTTTAATTAGCGTTTAAATTTTAGTTTTTTTTTAAATCAGTTTTAAAATGACACGCAACATGAATCTATCTGAAGATATCATGTTGCTTATCTGAAGATAATCTTGCTACTTTTAGCAATGTAATTTAACAACTACTTGACTTGTCTTAATCCCTACAAACCACCTTCTGTGAAATGGATGACTCATGGGACATCTGGTCTTTACTGTTAGAAAGAGTAGTTTAAAATAATTTCTCATCTTGACCTTCGCCTCCAGATGGGCATATATTTTACACACAGCTTCATTTATTTGACATTGGTTCCACCCCCTTCTCTGACATTAATAGATCATACATCATTTATCTACTTGTGCTAGGATTAGTTAAAATGTGTTAGGCGAAAGCTTGGAATCTTTTTCAGTGTGTGAAAAATGTATTTCAATTTTGGAATTTTATAGCACTTGTCGTATATTTTGTGATCCTGAAAGAAAATGCCGTCTATTTCAACGTCTAAAAAAAGAAAGCGTGTGAGTTTATCGATGAAAACGAAAGTAGAAATTTTTCAAAAATTAAATGAAGGTTCTTCAGTAAAATCTCTTAGTGAGATTTATAACGTAGGGACTCAAACCATTTATGATCTTCGAAAAGACGGTCAAAAGAAAAAAAAACTGGCTCTATTTTCAAATTCCGAGCGAGAAGATGCAATGAAAAAACGAAAGACTTTGCATCAGGCAAAAAATGAGGATGTCGGCAAAGTATTAATGGAGTGGATAAGACAGAGAAGATCAGAAAACTTTCCATTAACTAGACAAATAATTATGGCTCAGGCAAAAAATTTTCCTAATGAGTTTGGCATAAAAAAAATTGCGAGTACAGCATAGGATGGTTCGCCAGATTCAAAGAGAGAAACGGCATTCGATTACTGAAATTTTGCGGTGAAAAAGCCTCAGCCGCTGAGAATTATGCAGATTTTGTGCTGAATGTGGTCCAGACTCAGAAATTGACCCTACAGCAAATTTTTAACATTGATGAAATGGGTCTCTATTACAAATATCTACCAGATACTACTTACACTACAACAGATGAAATCAATACTAGTGGTTTCAAAATTGCGAAGAATAGGCTGACATTATTAGCCTGCGCGAATGCAGCGGGCACATGTAAATTGAAACTGACTGTTGTCGGCAAAAGTAAGAATCCCTGGGCTTTAAAAGGTGCTAAAAGTTTTGCCTGTAGTTTATAAAGTTAATAAAAAAGCTTGGATCACACAGGAACTTTTCACAGAATGGTTCCAGAAGGAATTTGTGCCTAAATCACGTGCACATTGCAAATTGGTGGGATTGTCAAATGACTGTAAAATTGTTTTGTTTTTAGACATCTGTAAGGCACATCTACCTGCAGTCGTTTTAACTACCAATAATATAGAAATTCAATATCTCTCCCCAAACTGTACGTCCTTAATACAGCCTCTCGATCAAGGCATTTTACGTAGCTTAAAATGCCGTTACAAGGTTCAGTTTTTAAAGAAGCTGATCGACGCAGCTAATGACGGAAAATCCGCCCAAGATTTTCTGAGAACATTCACTGTGAAAGATGCTATATGGTTGTCAGCGAAAGCATGGGAATTTGTTTCCCGTGATACATTAACTCACACATGGCAGAAGTTAATTCCGACTTGTATTTTTTTAGAAGAAGATGTTGACGACTCTCCTTTTGAAGGATTTAAAATTTCAAAAGAAAAAGATTTCCAAAAGGAGCTCCGGGAATACTCTCGAAAATGGTTAGAGCGGGACCTAATGTCAGAAGAGATTAATGAGTGCTTTAATATCGATAATGACGTCCCAATTGTAAACGAAATGACAGATTCCGAAATTATTCAGATGGTGTCGAACCCAGGCACTGAACAAAACGAAAGTGATGACGAAGATAAGGCTGAACAAGTTTCAGTCATATCTAATGAACGATGTATCGAATTAACAAAAGAACTGATAGCTGGAATGGAACAGAAATCATTTATTGAGGAAACTCATGTAATGGCTGTTTATAAAATCAAACAGTTCTTTCTCAATCAGAAACCAAAATTTCGACAGCTAAAAGTTGATGAAATGTTTAAAAAATAAATATATGCGAATTTTGTATTTTTTAAACTTACTTTTCTTGTCAAACCTTTTAAATGTTATTAAATGTTATTTTTCTATTCTTTTAAATGTTATTTTCCTTTTTTTTCAATTGAACTTTTCTTTTCTTAAAATGTTTTACTTTGTTTTCATTGTGATTTGGGTTCGATAAAACATTGATAAACTACGTTTTTTCGCCGATCCAGAAAACCGGGAAATTCAGACATCCGGGATAGCGATGGTCCTGAGCATCCCGGATAATTGGTTCTCTACTGTACCACCAAAAAGTTAAATTTCGCAAAAATTTAGAATTTAAGATTGAATACTGCACTTCCCATTTAATCAAATAACCCACTTAATTGCATAGATTTGAGTGGAACCGATGGTATTCCTTTAAGCGGGGTTGACTGTAGTAGTTTAGAGTTAATCAACAATTCACATAAAGACAATCATTCTTATAAGCAACTAATTTAAACTTCAATGTGTCTAAATTACCTTCTTTGAGAAGAGTCCAATTATTGTCAAGTTGCTTGTCTGCCTGCTGAAAGTATCTTCGCTCAGTCCAGAGGCTTGCATGGTTTTCTGTTATCACAGCAGTGCCTAGAATTTTTGTTTCATGATTAGTCTTTTTTTTTACAATTTCATACAAGCTAAAAATACAATACTCGTTTGTATATGCTAGTTAACATTGCATCGGTGAACTCTATATTCTTGACCTAGCTCAAAATAAGTGTTTCAGAAAATGGACACAGCTTAGAATGCATATTTAAGAAAATGAACAGGACTCAAAATGAATGTTTTAGAAAGTGGACATAAATTGAAATGTGTGTTTAGGAAAATTAACATAGCTTAAAATGTGTGTTTCAGAAAATAAACATACCTCACAATTAGGACTGGGCTATAAATCGATATATCGCGACATATCGATTTAACGCCTGTATCGGCAAACCGATACAGCGACTTTCATTCCAAGCGATGCATCAAAAATCTGATTTAAGCCGTCGAGTGAAGAAGACGATATAACGATATAGCGATACACGCAAGGACTTTCTCTTGCGTTCCGATGCCAACTCGCGCTGTGGAAGACGATATTGTTTCGTTATGTTGAGACGGCCTTGACTGATGAGCGGTAGAATCAGAATCACTTTTGAGACCTTATATCGTTATATCACATGTTCGTTTTCGCACCTTCGCGATTTGAAATCGTTTCTTGTAGATTATTTTCAATGGGATTAACTTCGTGATCGCCGTCGTAACCT